CGACAACCAGTCTGCCCAGAAAAATGCTAGCCTTGCATCGTAACTAACCACAAATGCCACTTGTGAACGGCTCTGGTTGTGCCACAGAAAGATGACACATCTCTTGAAGAAAGACCTCAGAAATACCCCATGGCACGTCCCTGGCAGGCAGGGACAGGCTGGTGCCCCCAAGCCAAACCCAGCCGTGCCCTCCCTGACCACTGCCACCACTGCTGTGCCCCGACCCTGTGAAAGGGAGCGTCACACACCTCTGAAGGAGTACCAAAACCCAACGTCAAGCAAGAGAAATAGCTCCATGGGATACCTTTTATCTGAGGCTCACAAAGGCACTTCTAAAAATCCACTATGCCAACTCTGCAAAGAAACAGCAAAATTACTCAACCAAAAGGGCTGGAGAAAACAAAACCCAGGGCTCTGCTTACTACACCACACTGCACTACAGATTTCTGTCTTTCTTTCCTCACTTTGGTGCTGTCTCTATAAGATATTAGAAACTCTCTTCCCCTTTTTACCAGATCAGCACTATTTTAAAAGATTGCATTTCTGAAAATACGTTTTCTTTTCTTTCATTTCAGACCCCACGGACTTCTTTTCTCTGCTAATTGACCCTGCCAGCTTCACCAGAATCAATCGAGCTGCACGGGTGCCTGCACAGCGAGCTGCCCCTGTTAACAGGCCACCACGGACTCCAGCCCCAATCCTACTGGGAATCCGTAAGAGCAGCTGCTTCCATCGGCTTCAGCAGGAGCAGAAAACCTCCTCCGAGCAGAGGAAAGCAATCCTATAGAACAGGAGATGATTAGCAGAAACTCAGATGGAACTGTTCCTCCGCTCCCACAGACAAGAAATACTTGTAATTTCCAGCTATTTAAATGCAATGAGGTCAGAGTCGATGAGAAAGGTCTGGTACAATTGATCCCAGAATGAGGAAACAATAACACTTTGGAACCGATATGGATTTTTTTTTTAAACAACAGCCTAACAGGGCATGCTGCAAAAATAGCCAAAACTGATAAATATAGAAGACCTGTCTTCCACTGAAGAGCCGAGCGCTGGAGTCTCTATTTACGTGTACATTACCAGCAACGCCAATGCACTGTATCAAATTACAGCACGATTTTCATTTTACTGCATGCAATTCCTCTCCGCTACCCCCGCGAGTCTCATGAGGAATCACGGTTAAGCACAGCAGAAGGAAAAAAAACACACAACAACACACACCTTTGGCTACAAATGCAATTGTCTTGCCTTATGACAGGAAGCTTTCATTTACAGCCCAAAGCATTCACACACAGGTAACTGGAAAAGATTGGTTTCTGCCTCCCCACACTTTTAAATATTTGCCTAAACCACCCCTGTCCCCTCCCTTTCAGTAGTTGATAGGACAGCTACTATCACCATCCTGCTATTGCTAAACGTTCAGGCTCAGCTATTGATAAAAACCAGAATGGTGAAGAAGGATAGAAAGGGCAACTGCAGTCAGAAGTGTGAGTTTCGATTCCTGTGCTGCACAGGCTCCCTGGGCAAGGTTTCCCCCTTTCCAAAAAAAAAAAAAAAACAAAAAAAAAGGAACAAAATAAAGAAAGAAACAACACCATAAATCAGTTCTCCAGGCTGACATGCATTGTGGTCAATCGTGGTCAAAAAGATCTGGGCTCACCCAGTGAGTGCAATGTGTGCAAAAGGGAACAACCTCCCAGCAAACGTACAGCTCTGACACCCAGCCCCTTATCTCCCCAGACACAGCCCCAGCCTTCCGAACGCCCCAACCTTTTAGGGCTGGGTGGGGAAGATGTCACACAGAGACTGAAAAGCACCAGGCCAGGGTGCGAAGGCCGAGCAGGGATGTGCTGTGCTGCATGCTGAGGGCTTGGGGGACATCGGTTTTAGTGGGGTTTGGTTTTGTTGGTTGGTTTTTCTAAGAAAGCGATGGGGTAATTAGGGAAAATGCAGGACTTGATACTCGGTGTTACACAAATATCAGCCACAGCCCACACGGATTACACGATGGAGGTGGCAGCAGGGAATGTCTGGACACGAGTTGAGTTGTGCCATTAAAGGAAGGCTCCAGGAACAAGCCGAGGCTTCTCCATCTGAAAGCAGTGGCAAAAAAAAAATTAAATATCTTCTCTCACCCTTGCCATAGGCTTAGCCCACAGATTTAAAGCAAAAAGCTACAAGTCAAGTTAAAGGACCACAATTAATCTATCGTAAGGTATGTAAGCAGGCAACTGATCCTGGCTTATCAACATGAAGGATTTTTCCTAAAACTTTCCCTTTGATGGAGACCAGGATTTAACTCAACTAGCCCTGGCTGGCAAACACCTGCCAGCCTTACCTGGCCTCGGCTGGGGACACCGAGGCACTGCCCCTGTCCCCCACCACAGCCTCCTCCATGGGCTCACTCCTCGTGGTCATCCTCCAGCCTACACTGGAAGGATTAGGACCAGGTGTGAGCTCACAAATCACACTTCCCTCGACTACGGCTTCAGAAACCAATTCCCAACCAGAGGTCACAAACCTAACCCCTCCCCAGATGGAGTTATTTCTCCCCTGGGGGGGGTCAGAGCAAACTAACAGAGCACCGGTGGCTTCCTCTTCAAGCCTTTAGGGCTTGTCTTTAGGGCTTCCCGTTCCCTTTCCTGGGGCTCTCAATTTCTGGGCAGCGCAGCTGAACTCGAAACAGCTGCAGCTGCAGGCTTGTTGGAGCGCTCGTCCTCCTGGGCCTGAAATCAAGAACCTGGCAAGGAAGTTCCCGGTACAAGAAAGACAGGGATCTCCTGGAAAGAGTCCAGCGGAGGGCCACGAAGATGATATGGGGCCTGGAGCATCTCCCCTATGGGGAAAGGCTGAGAGACCTGGGGCTGTTCAGCCTTGAGAAAAGACTGAGAGGGGATCTCATCAGTGTGTATAAATACCTGAGGGGTGGGGGACAGAAGGATTTGGCCAACCTCTTTTCAGTGGTTTGTGGGGACAGGACAAGGGGCAATGGCCACAAAATGGAGCCCAGGAAGCTCCGCACCAACATGTGAAAGAATTTCTTCACGGTGAGGGTGACAGAGCACTGGGACAGGCTGCCCAGGGAGGTTGTGGGGTCTCCTTCTCTGGAGATATCAAGGCCTGTCTGGACGCCTACCTGGGCAGCCTGCTCTAGGGAACCTGCTTTGGCAGGGGGGTTGGACCCGATGATCTCTGGAGGTCCCTTTCAACCCCTACAATTCTGTGATCCTGTTCCCTGTGTGACAGGAGGTTGGAGAAGCGATGAGACCCCCTTTCCTGGCGGCTCCACCACAGGAGCTCAGCTGCCAGCTCCACCTGCCCACTCCCAAGGAAAAAGCCTGCAATACCTTAAAGTGGAGGGTTTAAGTACCCGGCAGCAGAGCTCTTCAATGCATTGCACTTTCCACAAAGAGTCCCCCAGGTGACTCAGGGTGCCCAACGTGAGTTCAAGCCAGCTCTTTCTTCCCTCCCTTTTCCACCCTACTTGTCTTCACAGGTCCACGTTCCTAACAATGGAAGAGTTTGAGTTAAAGTGTCATCTACATAAAGGTTGCCTGGATACTTTGAAGATGAGTGCCACAGAATGTGTGCAAATAACAGGATTTCACTTTATGTCACGTTTAAAAGAAAACGCACCCAGCGTTACCACTTTATAGGCAATGAGAAAGAGAATAAATAAGAGAGGCCGTGTCATGCTGATAGCACGAGTGAAGATAACGGCATGGGGGCTTCCCCCCATACACTGGTAAAGTAAAACCCATTTACTCGGGAGACATGAGGAGGTTAAATAGGAAGCTACCTCAGCTTTCAAATGTTATTCTGTTGTTGTGAATGCAAAGCAACGCTGGTCTCAGAGCATTTTGTAGATATTAATTAATTAAGGACCAGCGCACTTTCCAGGGGGGTATCTGCAATGAGAGAAGCTATACCCCAGAAAGAAAATAAAGGAAGATAGTTTCCATCAGAGGTCCGGAATGCAAGTGGCACATTACGTATTATGGGAGGGGGTCAAACATCCCAGACCATTTGACTCGTAAATGGAACCGGACTCTGCAGCCTCTGACACCCACAGCACATTTAGCTCACGCGTGACACGAGGCTGTGCTGCAAAACGACAAGTTTCCACATCAGCCTCCATCTGGCAGGCACCGAGGTGCCCCGAGCCAAGCCCTGCCATCCCTGTCGGCGAGGGAATCGCCCAGCAATTCGGGGCATGCTCCCATCCCCGTTGTTCCTGAGCATCGCGGAAGAACAAAAGCAGCTGCTCATCAAGATGCAAAATTACAAGGCTCACCTTGCAGAGAGAAAGCAATACCGAAGTCGTAGCTGCTTCTGAGGAGGCTACAATTCACAGAAAAGCTGAGAGGCTTTATTTCCTCTTCTATTGCTCTAATTAATCGTGTAAATGAGAACAGGGCCTAAGACAACGTATTGCAAAGTACACCTGAGTTGAAGGTGCCTTGCAGCCCCGCAGCTTTTAGTTTTCATCACAAACATGTGATGCTTTTGGTCATTACTGTTTTAAAGAAAAATAAACAGGCTCAGACATGAATTTTCTAAATGGATTTTTCCACACACACTTTACCTTCAGAACAGTCGCAAACCATTAGCACGTTCCACTTTAATATCTAATGGGCTTAAATGATCCAGATCCACTTTTACCCAGAAAAAAACAAAAAACACACCGAGGAGCAGGTTGACATTGCACACCAGAGCCTGCAACACCCCAGGAGCACGTTACAGCACCAGCAGAACCACTCGCTGCATTGGGACTGCCCCATCTGCTGCTCCTCACCCCGAGCACCAGACCCAGGCCTGGTGTCACCTCCTCTCCAGGGGACACAGAGCTGAGAACCAGCGAGGAGGATGCTCAAGAGCCCCAGTCACTTGGGCACAGACACAATAAAGGGGCAGATCACAAAATCCCCCTGCATGGCTGGTTTTGGTGGTGGAAAGTGTTTTCGCGGGGTTACAGCGAGGCAAAGCAAAGCAAAAGGGCACACAGAAACTTTGACCTTTATTCCTCGTCGTCATGGTCTACAGATTTCTCCCCCTACTTTACCAAAGCTTTCAAGTAAAAGCCATTGTCTGGAAGGGAATTTTTCCTACAGGAACACAAAAAGCATCTCCTCCAGCCCTGCAGATATGTCGGTGCCTTCTCCTGTGTACATGCTCCCACTGACTTGCACCCATCCCCGAGAATTTTAAAACCCTATTGTTAGTGATGCTCTCCTAACCTGGAGAGGGGCTAAAGCCATACAAAGAGACCCTTTATCTTACAAACAGAGCAAAATGAGGCAGAAACGAGCTCATTCTTAGGCTTATAAAACCAGCCTTTACAGATAATTATGTTTTATTACTCTTCGTTTTATGAGGATTGTGTTATACAAAACAAATACCAGATGCCTATTTGTTTCATTGGGGGGAAGGGGGGAGGGATGAGTCTCCACGAGCACTGCCGTAAGCAGCACTGCTTTTAATTAAACACAATAAACGCATAAAAATTAATACTGTTTGAAACCAGCAGGTAGGAAGCAAATGTATGAACTGCTGCTGCTGAAAGACCCCCTTGCCCCCAAGCTCCCACGGCAAGAAGAGCCAGCCCCCAGCCTAACACGCAGGGCCTTGAGCCAGTGCTCTGCAAAACAGGCTCTTTAGATGGGAATTTTTCTAGAAAAAAAAATAATAAAAAAAAAGGCAATAACTAACTCCACAGACATCCAAAAGCTTAAAAAAGGAGGGTGAGGAATTTAATGCTACTGCTGCTAAAATGACACACAGGCTCAACCAAGAAAACCCATGCTTAACAAAAGAAAAAAAAACAAACAGCAAAACAGCTTAAAAATAAGGCTGTGAGCTCAAACGATGGCACAGGAGAAGGCAAGGAGGTGTAAAGGGATTTCTGGCAACCTTAACACAAAGCTACCAGCCAAAGTGGCGGCGCTGACACTCCGAAGTGGGAGGGATTCCTCCGCTCTTCGCTCGCTAGACTCAAGTCTTACAGAAGTGTGCAGGACCAAAGCCCATGCCTGGGACCAGGAACGTGCATCCGAAACACAGGGAGGACAACGGGAGGGAGGCACGCAGAGCACACACGAACACAAAGGCAAGAATCGGACGCAGCTCCTCAAGCAAAATAAAAGCCATCCAACTTCTCAGCAACAGCCAGATGTCAGCCATCCACCCCCGCGGAGGCACCGCTAGGAAATCCATTTCCTATTTTCAATGGTGGTTTCCTTTTTCACTTTAATTGCATTAAGATCCAATCGTGGGGGGACAATGGGCTCTTCTTTCTTAAGGCCACTGCCAGCCCTGTGCTGTCGGTCCAGCTTTCAGCATCGCGCCCGACACAGCTTTAATGTTAACATCCTGCAAATGCAACTCCAGTCTGTAGCAGGATCTCATTCCAGGGGAATCTTCTCCTAGAAATACATATGTATTTTTTTTTAAATACAGGGATTTTAAAGGCTCTGTGCAGCAGTAAATGCCGGATATGTAACAGAGGAATGGTTTCCACGTTGACCTGTCCATTTCCAGGTTTCCCTATGCTGTAATTACTAATACAAAGGACAGGGCTCCTCTCCACCAACCAGCGCCTATTCTCAACCTAAGCTTCTTCCTAATGAAGTTTGTTTACAAATATTAATTACATTCCACGCTTTATTAGCCCAGCCAGTTAATTGTAAGCCCACAGTACCACAAAAGGCAATTACAGCAATCAGTGCATTGATTATTGTGAAAGACGGTCATCCCGAGAATAAAGGTGAAGTAACGAGGCTTTGTTCTAACCAGTAACCAAAGGGTCAGAGCAATCTGGGACCACACCACTACCTCTAAATCCTCAGCTCTCCAGTTCTAGACACATGCAACACAGATCTCACCGCTAATTAATTGAGCATGACCCGTGGCAGAAAAATTTTCATTAAAAATGAAAGAATATGAAACTTTTTCTTTGCTAGAAAGGATTATTACAGGCCACCAGGAAGGACTAACAGAACAAAAGCTGAAAACCAGTTGTTATTAAAGTTTGCAGTTATTTCTAAGCCCAAAGCCAAAGGACACAGGTCCTAATTGCTGCATTTGTTATTATTATCGTTGTTATTATTTTGGCTTGCAGCAGCACGAACCAAAGCAGCCATCAGAAGGCTGGAGGTGGTGATGAAGAGTCCTGCGAAGGCTGTCAGGTGCAAGATGCAATCGTTTTTCAACACGCTGAGAACCAAGACTTCAGAGCAGGAGCAGGCATCAGGAGCTCTGCACCAGGAGACACACGCGGAGTTTAACGAAGCCCCTCGGAGAGCTGTGGTTTTATCATCTCCGAGGGAATGAGCGCCTCCTGTGCAGCACTGCAACGTGGCACACCTGCAGAAGGCATTTTCTACAAAACACATCTAAGGTTTTATTATTTGTGCTGGCACCATGGGCTCTGGTGCCTCCCCGACATCCTCCATGAGCCCCAGGGGCTCACCGCTGCGACGGGTCACGCTTCCCCTCCACCACTTCGCTCTTTGCTCTTGCATCAGCAGCCATGAAAAGGAAAGGGGGGAGCAGGGAGAGCGTGCTCAAGAGAAGGAAAAAGAGAGAAGAGATGAGGTTTGGGGCTGCAAAAGTCAACTTGACAGAGGGATCTGGCAAGAGCTGACATACTGCAAGCCGGAGATGAAAGCAGAGAGCGCGGGGCTCGCAGCGTGCTCACTGAAAGGGTGGCACGATTCTCACAAGGAAAACACATTTTTGACACCTCCTCAAAAGCGCTCCCATAAAAGAGCCATCTAGCAACCCAGCGCTGCTAAATTTACCCCGGCTTCATCTTTTTGTCAAATATGCCTGAAAGCTGCTCGAGACACGTGGCCAATCCAAACCTAAACCAAAATGTTTGTTAAAACGTGTCTTAAACTGATCCACGTGCCAAAGCCAGCCATGCAGCCTGGGAACGCGCCAAGCAGCCAAGGGAAAGCTCACAGAAGCCTGCACGAAGATTTGCAGAGCTGTATTTGAAAAAGCAGCTGGGGAGGGGAGAGAGCGAAATGAACAACTGCCCGAAATCCTTCCCCGCCTTCAAGAAAATGTCACCCTTAAATCCCTACCTGTTCTGCTCACCTTGCTGCCGTCAGATTTTTATTAGCCCTTCTCTGGAGCAATTCCCTGGCACTTAGCATGCAGGAGCCGTCCGCGGGAATAGATCCTGCTGCCACAGATAATGCGGTTCTGAGGGAAGCCCATCAATTGTTAATGGCCATGCAAATTGTTGAAACTAGAGAGTTATTCACAGTTATCTCACTGTGATTTGGTAAGTGTCCATGCCTGATGCGATCACTCACTTGATATATTATTCCATTACAACTCAAGGAGTAGCCTTACCTTTCGGATTCAGGGGGAAAGGAAAGCGGGAGGGGGAGCGGGAGGGTGGAGGGCTGCTATTTGTTTTACATGATTTTAAACAGCCACACGAACCTTCCCGTGTGAGGGTTTCACAGCACACTAAATCTCTCCCCGAGACTCCTTCCTGCAACGCTTAAACCCCTCTGAGCAGAAACTAAAGAAGTTTAGCGTGCAATTTCAGCCCCTGATCTTGCAAAGCACCTTCTTACGTTTCAGCTGCGCACACAGCTCCACATCCTCTGTGGCACTGGCTCTTCAGGCTGAGGATCGCACGGTTTTACATTTTCTGATCAGGGCTTTCTCCTGCTTATGCAAAACTTTGTGCTGCCACTCAGTAAGCTGTAGGCATTTCCTCAAATCCACAGCGCAGTCGCTCTCTTGCAGCACCAACTTACCGATTATTAATTTTCGGCTTTATTGCAGCTCCAACATATTAGATGCCGTTCTTTGCTTCCTGCCTGAGATTTATTACTTTTAGCGAAGTGCAGTTTGTTTTTTGATTTTGTTTGTTCGTTTTTAAACAGCCCTTGAGGGGGAAGTGTTACTCTGCTTTATTAAGTAATTCTAAAATCGCTGTATACAAAATAAATCCTGTAATTATGTTTCTCACTAGGATTAGATAAATTATATTTAATTAAAAAAATCTGCTAGCACCCAGCACAATGGTTGGTGGCAAATCAAGATGAAACATTTATGTGTTTATCTTCCCGCAGCAGCTGACTGAGTCCATGAGCAGGCACACCCAAGCAAGCCTTCTCGGATACAGAAGCAGACATCAGCGCAAAGATTTGTCCTCCCCTTCAGATGAAGGTCCTGACTTCCAGAAGCAGCCTCTGATTTCCTTCTTGTAGGCTGCAGCAAGTAGGGTTTTGATGGGCTTTCTAGCAGCCATGCTCAACTACACGATTGCACGATTGTGATAAAAGTCTGCCATCATTTGCAGGGCAAAAAAAAATGGATCAGAAGAAGTTAAGATCTTCTAAATGAAGAGAAGAAAATGAGGATTTGTATCTACACTTGCCCCATGGCCACGTGAATGAAATAAAAATGAGCTCCACTGCCTTAATCTTGCACGCCCAAGGGACGCGCCAGCCCGCTGCTACGGCCAGGGGAACCTCGCCAGCCCGCTCCCAGCACTCACATCCAGCTGCAAATGCAGGAAAAAATGCATTTGGCAGAAGCAAAAAAACATTTAAACCACGTATATATACACCATGCTGTTTTTACAGCCTTGGAGAACTGATCCTTCGCAGGACAGGGTCCCCTCGTCTACCCCTAAACCATTGTGGCACACGTTTTCCCTTCAGCAAGCACTGCCGGGGCGCTTGCTGAAGGGAAAAAGGAGCTCTCAGCTCCGTGTAGGAGCTGAGGAGTGATTGATCCCATTGATTTGTGTCAACAGCCTGACATGGCCGCATCGACCGGCGGTAATTTTGTGGGAGGAGCTGGGAAGGGGAGCGAAGGCGGCGGCGCCACCGCTACCACACCACCCTGCCGGAGGAGAGGACAGGGCTGGAGATGCTGGAGCAGCCATCAGCAGGGCCACACCAGGCCTCAAGCCGGCAGGAGGGAGCAGGCAGACATTTCACATGCCCGTGTTTACGGCAAACCCACGGCTCGACGCCCAACTGTATAATTATAATCCATTACAATTATGCAAAGAAGTAACACTGCAGAAAGGCCTTCTCATTTCCCATTCTTCGCGCTGAATACTTTTGTTTTGCAGCCAATCAACTAAATTAGCCCTAATTCTGTTTCATTCACAAACACAAAGAGTATATTAGAGGGAAAAAAGTGAACAAACAGGAAATTCACTTAGGAACCCGGGAATTATTTCGTTTTTGTGTATTTCTGAACCAGAAGCCATCATGGGGATGAAAGTCCATAGCGGTTAAAGCAGGTTCAGCACAGGAGCCCTCGGGAGAGGCACCAGGATGAGCAGAGATGTGGGGCAGGTCTGAGTGAGGTGAGGAGAGCCAAAAGATTCATAAATTACAAATGGCCATTCATCCCCATCCATGAAAACCAAAAAACCCTAAGTAAGTTCTTGTGGGGACTGCCACTCACTAGCACAGACAACGTCTCCCTCGGATGACCATCCCTTTTTATTGGGAAGTCACAATTCAGATGTTTTCTGAGAAGGGGACATGGTAAATATTAACGAACTGTACTTCAGTTTTACACAACACTTCCTCTAAAACCCTCTAAAGTAATCTCCAAAAATGCTCATGGGAAGCAAAGCGTTCTTCCCCATTTTGAAGGGGGATGGAAACGCGATGACTTGGCCCGGGGCAAGGCTGGCCATGGATGGCAGCTGCCCATGGGAAGAGGAGGAGGTCCCATAGCAGCCACCAACGGGACTGCAGGAGCACTGGGAAGCCTCTCCTACTGCATCATGAACCAGGAGCCTCGCCTGGCCAGCAGAAACACCCCCACAGGGGCATCTTCCAGGTCAGCACCTGCTTAATTCCAGATCCACACCCCCTCCACAGAGGTGGCACTAGAGCACCTGAAAAACCGAGGCTACACCTCAACAAGAGGGGGGTGGGAGAGATGAGCAGGGGAAATGCAGTGTTTACAGAAAATGGCATCGCTTTCCTCCCGTTGCTGAGGAGCCCTAACCCCATGGCTGGCTGAAAGTTGTGTTTCCCTACTTCCAATACACGACACTGTTTCAGAAAGTCACATCCCATTTGGGAAGCCATCTAACTGCACATGCTCCTTTCTCCACAGAGCAGCTAGGCACAAAATTTTGCTGAGCCAGGGCCTTCATTTCTTGAAGCATTACTTCCCTTTTCTCAAGTGAAACAAATCTCCTCTCTTTTGTTCTCATTTTCGATTCACTCCTTCAGGGAGCGCTCTGGCCAGGACACCCCTACGGCCCCAAATCCCCAGCAACCTGGAAAGCTGCAGGACCTTAACCATAACCTAAAGTTATGCATTCCTGAGCGCTGAACGCCTCTCCGTGCAAGCAGGGACAGGAGGATGCAGCTTGCATCATCCTCCAGCCACAGCCAAGTCCTTGGGAAATCAGCCACCCTCGCAGCACGTCGCTTAACTTCCTTCGGAGCCGGCTGTCTGTGTACCCACCGACTACTTCGCTCTGGTTAGCAAAATGGTTTGTTTACCCAAGACCACAAAACGCAGTGGATTTGCTGAAAAGAAACCCTGCAGCGAGGACGGGAAAGGAGTCGCAGGTAATACTGCAGAAATCACCAGATTACGGCGCAGTCTCCCGACTCACATCTGCTGAGCAAATACGCGCTCCGTGCCCACCAGCTTCATTCACTTCCCGCTCACAGACGCCTGCCGTTTGCCTTTCCAGTGGGCTGAATATGGGAGAAAAGGATTATTTCCAGCAGTCAAACTCAAACCTCAAACGACTTTCCCAACACTACGTGGATACGCAATCATACACATCTCAGAGAGCACGTTTACCCTTATTTTCTGATTAAAACCTCGAGGACACATCGCTAAGGCCTTACTCAAACCAACCCAGGCCAGCAGATGTGCCCCACAGGGCGAGAAGGCAGGGGCACAGCAAGTCTCAGTCGTGGCTGGACAGCAGGATGCAAACAGGGCTTTTGGCTCGGCTTTGCTCGGGGCTCAGAGAGCTTCCAACTCGCCCGTTTGGGATTTAATTCTGCTAAATGTGAAAACAATGGCTACAACCACTTTTGGGTTCGAGTGCTGCCAAACACGGTGATTATTTACCAATAAATTACCCCAGAACGATTCTCTTCAAAAAGTAAAAGCAGTTTTCACCTACATTTCTGCCTACAGGAAAGAAGGGGCTGGACCAGCCAGCCATCCACTGCAATTTGTTGTCACCGCAGAGCCTCGGATTAGATGCTGGGCAGAAGAGATGCCGAAAAGCCTGGAGCAAGTGATTATAACAACACCTTGCCCCACAAGAAAAGGAGTTGAGGTTAGGAGAGAGGCTGGCCACAGGCAGGGCGGCTGCAGCCACGCCACGTGTGGACAGCCAGCACCCGCGTCCCTTTGGTGCCTTTCGGGAACGCCAGGCAGCTCCGTCCTCTGTGGGAACCTAGAATCCTTCCCCACCTGCACACGAGGATGCTGAGATCGGTACGGAGAGCAGGGGGAGGAAGGCAGTACAGCACATTTCAGGTGCAGGGGAGCACGTCGATACTTACCTGCTCCCCGTGCTCTGGAATAAACGCCTTGTGAGAACAGGCAGGTCTCCAGATCCTTGAAAATTGATATTAAAATAAAAAAGCAGGCTGATGGGGACTGGTCTCTGCAGGAGCCAAGATACTCTGGGAAAATGCCCAAGCTCTCTCAGTAGTTCTTGAGCTGCATCCAAGCTCCAGCAGCGGCCTGGTGATATTTCGGATCCGTGGGCCTGTTCCCGGCTCAGTGCAGCTCGCCGGATTCGGGAACAGATCTGTCCTGGACATCAGCTGCCACGACCCTGGATGACGGATGACTTCTCTTTCAGCCCTGTCCTAAATAGCTGCTAACTCAGAAAACCTTCTAAATAATTCTGAAAATAACGCTTTAAGTGGTTAAAGGGGGCATTTATGCTTTACTACAACACGCTGAAGCTCGAGATGCTGAAAACCCAAGAATTTCTTGCTCAGAACATGCACGTACACGCGCGTGCAACATCTAGATTATCATCACATGCTCGGCGGGCATGCCTCAGCCTCACTTCGTGTTTTCCTGCCAGCCTTGTGAGCGGCAAACTCACCCCTAGTGTCTACCACTTCTTTTTTTTTCCTCTATATGTGTATTTTACTCCTGGTGGGGAAGGAAACAAAACTGAAAGTCGCTTTTCTTCCCAGCCCGTGCTCAGCACACATCCCTGTACCCTTTGCCCAGGACACCACTTCCACGGCAGGAGGTGCAGCAGTGGCTGACACCCGTTCCACCAGCAGAGTGCACACCAGGTAAGCCCACGGGGCACCAGGGATCACCGAAAGCACCCGCAACGTGTTCAGCTGGGAGCCTTCCCACACGAACCCACAGCAGATACCCCGTGTCCCGCCGAGGTGCCGTACACTGGCTGCCCTCCACCACAAGAAAAAAAATCACATCTGCCCAAAACCACGGTTTTTTGCTCACTTCCCCCTTTTCTTTCCTCCTTTCTTTGACTCTGCTCATTAGCCGTGTCCTCCCCCACCAACATTTCGTTACCAACACCAACCTCAGCTATCCTGCACAGGTAAGAGCAGGGAACACTCGAATGGGCTTCCGATGAAACCTGGCATTTTTGGATGCCATCACTGCTGCTCGCTCCATCTTCTGGAGGCAGGGTTGTTCACCCATCGGGGGAAACACCACAAACACCACCGACTTTCCTAGAAAGATCCCCGTTGTGGTGCAGATCTCTCCTCTGCATCTGGCTGTACTGAAACGCTGCATTCCTGCATTTCTTTCGGTATCCATAGCCACTTCTGTTACCTTCCAAAAAGCAATTATTTGGAACCAGTTAGGCCTGTACATGAATTCTGCCTTTGTTTAAAGCACTTTGTACATATGTATATATTTAGACTGTCATTAAATATTTAAGAGGCTGTCTTCAAACTTCAGCAGCAGTTTGCCTGCTTAACCCTTTGTGAGATGGGAAGCTCGGTGCTAAAATCCTACCGAACAGGAGCTCAGCAGGTCCGGTGGCAAAGGCCAACCTTGACGAGCCAAAGGCACCACAGAGAAACCAGGGATTTTCTTTGTTTTCCCTGAAATCCCGTTTGCTAGTAGTCAAAGAGTGATAATGCAATTCATTTTCGTCTGCATCAGCTTTATCTGCCGAGATGCGTAACCGGGATGCAAATTAATTAGCTGTTAACACACAGACAGATCCCTCAGTACAATTTGGGGATGGAGTTTAATACACACATGCCCTTCCCACCTTCCTCCCGACGTGGTGAGGCACTCCTGCACTTCCCACAGGTAAGGTCACCTCTCCTGGCGGGGAAGGAACGCATCCTGCAGACCTCACAGGGGTCACACATTCACACACACGCACCTCCACCAGCTGACCCTACCCTCAGGACGCGACCTTATCAGGTTTTGTGAAGGCAGCTGAGCATCAGGCGCGGTCAGCATCCGAACGGGAGGAAGAGAAGAGGCAGGACACGGGAGGAAGCGGTCCTGGAGAATCAGCAGATGGCATACTTTGCTGTAAATCAGCTCCGAGCCACGGGCGCGAGGGGCAGCAGCACACTGCCAGGTGCTCTCTGGGATCGGATGCGAGGTTAAGGAGCTTCGGCTTCCTTAAGCTGCCCGCCTGCTCCCCTCGGTAGCCTGGCCACAAATTCGGCCTGCCTCAATTCGTCATGTAATCTTATTTGCTTGGAATCATCATTTTATTACCTTCTGTCTTAAAAGGTAGCAGCGTGAGCGAATGCTGAAGTCACCAGGCACCACCCCAGATACAGCCGCATCTCGGAGCCAGACTGGTTTTTGCACGAAGGAGGGTTATGTACGCTCTTCCCTACGAAACAAGCTGCAAAGGCATTTTAGGAAGGCCAGAAAATATGAGGAGAGCTCTGTCTTTTACTAGGCCATATGCTGTAACTGGGAAAAAAAGAAAAAAAAAAGGCCATACTCACGTCAAACAACCGGCTGGTGTTTGCTTTATGACAACTTGACAACACACGTTCTGCACAACAGAACAAATAATCAAGACTTTTCAGATCTTTAAACTAGCTCAAATTGCTCCAAGCCCTGTCAGACAACAGCATGACCTGGAGAAATGTGCCGGGTCTGCCTTCTTCTCCGCCACAGCCCAGGTCCCTATAACCGTGCCCTACAGGGCAGCCAAAGGGACTCCCAGGTCACCAGCAGCAGTGTGAGTTTAGCTTAGCACCTCTGCTGGATTTCTCATCATTTGGTACCTCCGCTGGATTTTTTTTGCACCATTTCATCACTCCATCACCAGTTTCCCGAAAGTGAATGGCATTAAAAGCGTACGAAGTATTTGCATTGCCGCCTTCTCCCCCTTTAGGGGGAATTTACAGGAACGGGAAGGCGAACCAAGTTCACCCAGGAACACGCAGCCCTCCTGGTGTTTTGGTGCTAACCCAGCCGATCCCTCTCCAAGCCCCGTGGCTACTTTCGGTGGGGAACCGGGCAGCCAACTGCAAATTCTGATCAGCGTTAATGGCACCGTGGTTTCTCCACCGCTCCTCCCCAGGAGTATTTTCCCACCCACGTCCCCCATGCGCTGCAAACCCCTTCCTCTAGCCCTCGGCAGCTCCGCGGCGCGAGGCTGCTCTGTTAACGCGGCGCCTGGCTCCACGGGGCACGTTCCCATGCTAAAAACTTCGCGTCCGTCCACCCCGCAGGAGATGCAGCGGTGGTCAGCATTTCAAGGGGCTGCAAACAGCTTCATCAGCAGCGCAGCTCCGGAGGTAATTCCCAGGAAGCGTTTTGCCCGGCAGCTCTTTGTACAGACCTGAGAAGCGCGCCGGGAAGGTAACAGCGCAGCAACCTGACGGCGCCAGCAAACACAAATAATAAGTATCAGGGGAAGCCAGGAGCGCTAAGGGAAACGCGAGCTGTGCTCACACCACGGACGCGTTCCCTCACACACAAAAATCAGGAACTCCAACGCGGGGCATTCACACAGACAGCGTTTTTTTTTCCTCCTTGTTCCTCTGATGTTGTATCAGCTGGAGCCAAGGGGAAACCAGCCCGGGAGGCAAGCTGCTGCCTCGGGGAAACCACACGGAGAAACCACCTGGGCAGCAGGCAGTGCTTTCGGACACCAGCCCAACCACCGCTCTCACCAACTCCAGCCCTCCTCAAACTTTGTCTCACGCACAGCATTTACCCAGAGAGGCAGGACGGGGATGCAGGATAGCCTGAGGTGCCCGAGCATCCTCCAGCAGCATCCTCGCCCGCCGAGCCGAGGGCACCAGCACTCCGCCGGTCCCCAGGCGATGCGAGCCGCAGCCACGTCCCCCGTGGCCCCTTCCACCACCTCCCTCCCTGCTCCCCGACCCAAAGCATCGCTCGGGGCCAGCCGGAGGGGTACACGGAGCCTCTCCCCTGTCCCGAGGGCTGCCACCGGCACTGTGGCCCCGGAGCCGCGCGCTGACTTACTTTTCGTATTCGGTGTTGTCTTTATCGCAGCGCGAATCCTTGTGCTTTTGCCAGTCTTTGCCATGCTTGCAGGTGGTCAAGAGGACAACATCCTCCCCGTTATGGACGTGATATAAGGCATTCCTGGTGTCTGACCCTATCCCTGTCAGGTACCTTTTCCCCTTGAATACCAACATGTACTTCCTGAGAGGAGGGATGGTGTTAAACCGCAAAAATCCCTTCTCCCCTCCTGTCCTAGGATGATCCTTAGAAAAGAGCGGAATAGAAACATCAAAATTGGGTCTGAAGTTTTCAGTACTGATGCTGGCTTTGGCCAGCATGGCCTGGCCGATGTCGAAGCCCACGTCCTCGGTGTAGTCGGGCCAGGTGCCGGAATATAAATTAAAAATCAAGTGATTGCGACCATTGTTCCACAAGTGGAGGCTCTGCACTTTGGAGCGGAGGTTGTGCACGTACTGCGGGGAGAGCTGGTCCCGGTCCAGCGTGTCCAGGCTGAGGACGAAGAGACACGCCTGGCTGGGGTCGGAGGTGTAGAAGCGGGAGCCCTCGATGGCCGCCAGCACGTTCTGGTAGCTCTCGGCGATCTTCTCCCCTTTCTGCTGCGGGTACACGTAGACCTTGAAGCCGTTTTTCTGGCAAAGGCCGAAGTCGAAGCAGGACTCCATGCGGCACCGCCGCCCGCGGTACAGCCCGGCGCTGCCGTCCCGCCGCTGCCGGGGCGACACCCGGCCGGCCCCGCCGCCCCCCCCGGCCCCCTCCGGCTCCCCGAAGGAGCGGAGGGCGTCGGGGAAGCGGGGCCAGGGCCGCTGCTCGCTGCCGGGCCGCGGGGCAGCCCCATGCCGGCCGGCGGGCGGCGGGGCGCGGGCTGCCCGCAGCTGCACGCCTCCGAGGTAGAGCAGCAGGGCGAGACAGGTGGCGGCGGAGAGCAGCGTCAAGTAGCGTTTTTTGGCCTGCATGTGGCCGCCGGGGGGTCCGGGGGGCTGCGGAGGAAGGCTGCGGGGGCGGCCCCACTGCTCCGGGCGCCGCTCTCAGCTCCTCCGCCGCTCCGCCATCTTCCCGCTGCCGTCGTCGCCGGCCGCTTCCAGCTCCCCTCGCCCGCCTCCGCTCGGCGCCGTTCCCCAAGCCGCGGGCTGGGGCCGCGCATGTGGGCGACCGCCCGCCCGGGACTCGCTCGCCGCCGGGCTCTCAGCGGCGGGCGGCTTGGGGCCGGCGGCGGCCCGGCGGGGCGCCCCGCATGCACTCAGGGGCCGGCCCCCCGCGCGGGGCGGGCACCGGGGCAGCCCCGCTCCCGCCTTCTGTGCGCGGCGCTCCGCCACGCTCCCTCCCCTTCCTCCTCCTCCTCCTCCTCCTCCTGCTGCTGCTGCTGCTGCTCGGGCTGCCGGCGGCGGGGCGCTCACAGCCTGACGAAGCCCTGCATCGCCCCGAGCTGCCCTCCGCGGAACGGCGGCGGGGACCGGCGGCAGCCCCCTGCTCCTCCTCCTCCTTCCTCCTCCTTTCTCCTCTTCCTCGCCCTCGTCCCCCCGCGCCCCCCGCCCGGCTCCGCCACCACCTCCCCCCCCCCCTCCCGCTGCCGCCGCCGCCGCCGCCGCCCCCGGCCCGGCCCCGGCCCCGGCCCCGCCGCGCTGACCTCACCCAGCCACGCAGCCCCGCGCCCCCATTGGCTGGGCGTCACGTCCGGGGGGGCGGGGCTTCCGCTGCGCCCATTCATAAAGCTGCCGGGCGCGGGGGGCGCTGCGGCGCCGGCGGGGCGCGACCGGACCCCGCGGCACCGGGTGCTGGGCAGCGCGCTCCGGGCTCGGTGCTCCCAAATCGCGTCCCCGCCCGAGCGATTTTACCCCAGGAACAGGGGCTCCACCGCCCCCCGGTGCAGCCGGTTCCGACGCCTGGTTGCTCTTCCTGAGGTTCTTTGTGCAGCCGGGCTCGCTGCCACCCGTGTCACCCGCTGAGCTGGCTCTTATTGCACGGGTCGGTAGGGTAACCTGCCAGGATAAAGGGTTTCTAACAGTAAAACTTACCGTAGAAGCACAGAAAGACTGAGGTTGGAAGGGACCCTAAAGATCTTATCCCACCCCCCCCCCCCCAACACAGGTAAATGTGGACATCACCCAGGAGATATGGTTGCCCAGGGCCGCCGCCTCCTGTTACGTGCCACTATACTTTGGTTTAGTAAAAACAAGAAATGAAACCTCAAAAATGGGAGGAAAAAATGAAATAAAATGAAATAAAATGAAATAAGAGGCTCAACAGAGACCTTCTTGCTCTCTGCATCTGCCTGAAAGGAAGCTGTGGGGAGCTGGGGGTCGGCCTCTGCTCACAGGTAACCAGTGATAGGACCAGAGGGAATGGCCTCAAGTTGTGCCTGGGGAGGTTCAGGCTGGAAATGAGGAGACATTTCTGCTCAGAAAGAGCAGTCAGGCACTGGGACGGGTTGCCCAGGGAGGTGGTGGAGTCCCCGTCCCTGGGGGTGTTCAAGGAGAGGTTGGACGTGGTGCCTGGGGACAGGGCTCAGTGGGTGACATTGGTGGTGTGGGGATGGTTGGACCAGATGGTCTTGGAGGGCTTTTCCAACCTTAATGATTCTGTGATTCTATGATGAGTGCTCCAGAATGAGCACCCCAAACCTCATGGGGCTGGCTGGGGAGCAGCTGCCAGTGTTCAGGTGCTGCTGCAGGGAGCTCCCGCAGCACCCAAACATCCCTTGGGCTAAGAGTTGTGCTTGATCTCACCCGCTCCTTGGTGTTTTAACTCCGTAACCAGCAGCCTGGTTTGCTGGAGGGAGCTGTGCTGCTGGCTGGGTGGCGAACCCAAAGGCACGGCCAGGCTGCAGGAGGTGGCAGGAGTTCAGCAGGACTTGTGGCAGCAGTGCCTGCGCACACACGACTCTGCGAGGGGCAGCAACACCACAGATATTTCGGTGTACAGGTGTCAGGCCTTCCTAGCTCAGTAATTGAGGGTGGTGGAATGGGATGGGGCGGGCTTCAAGCTGGTTGCGCAAGCCATAGGTACCAAGGAACCATCCCATGGAAAAACCTGTGCCAGCCTCTTGTCCTGCTGCTCGTACCGATGTTAAAGCCGTAACGGGTGGGCCTGCCCCTGCTGCGATCCCACCTCCCACCCTCCTGCTGCTGTGCCGGAGCAGAGTTGGGTCAAGACAGCTGAAGGCCACAACCCCTGTCTAGACAAAAAATGTGCCCGTCCCCATGCTCTTCCATGCCCTTGGGGTTCCTGTCGAGTCTCCTCCTCATCTCCCTCCGCTTCTGTGGAGCTGAGAAGAAGAAATGTGAAGATAACAGGCGTGAAGACATCGTGCCTCCTCAGCAGAGGAGAGCCTAGCAGAGGAGGACGCGGTACCGACAGGAAATGGGGGTTGATCTCGTGGCTGGCGCCAAGAGAAGACAATTCCCATACAAACAATTTGACTGTAGGGAGGACAGCTGAAGGAAGGAGGCCGGGGTTTCACGCATAAGAAAAGAGTGAGAGTAATAACGCGGAAATTTCAGGTTCCTAGTCGAAAGTGATACTTATGGCTGGCGTAGATTTGGGTCCGGGGGCAGAAATTTTGGCCCGGGACGTGAAAGCAAGGAAGCGGGATTAAATATTAATGTGTTAATTAACCCTGTAATCCTTCCCTGAAACATTTGTCACAACCCACATACCAAAACTGGGATGCTGTTCAAGAAAAAGAGGTCAGCTTCTTGAAAGGTGAACCAAGGCTGCTCGCAGAGGCACCTTCTGTCAAGCGCAGGAAGATGGAATCCCATTACTGTCTGCAAATTAAGCCTCTGGGGACCAGTTTCAAACAGAAGAGGAAGCCTGCGAGCTTTGCTGTCTGTGCCAAGGACGGTAGCTGTCGCAAGCCGATTTTGAGGATCGGGTGCTAGCGAGCCCATGGCACAAAAACGCCTCTCCCCACAGCAGAGAGGCGCGGGAAGGAAGCGAAAGCAGCTGGGTTTCCAGCAGGACTGCGGCACGCTGGAGGAACCGGGGCCATTCCCAGCTTCGCAGCAGCAGCAGCAATAAATACTTAAGCTTTAAAACTGCCTGGGTCCAGGCACAGGCAGCAATGACATCACGTTGCGGGGCAGGGAAACGAAGCTCTGCGGATCAGCGCTGCTGTGCCCGACGTGCGGTACGGCCGCTGCCGTCGCCTTGTGCTGGGCAGGGCTCCCTGAGGGACACGGTGCGTGCCCCTACCTGAGCTGTGCAGCCCCGGCGATCGATCCTTTCTCTGAAGACTGCCTTTAGAAGCTGGCTGCTGGCTGCTATTTGTCATTTCCCTGGGTAACAGCACGAAATCAGCCTTCTCCAGCCCATTTTTCGGCAGCGCTCAGACCCCACGGACGGCACTGGGGCTGGTGGGGAGCTGCCTGCCGGGCTGCAGGGTGCTCCGGCGATGCGAGCCTGCCTTCCTCGGAGGAAATAAATCTGCCTGCTTCTGCTGTCAGGCAGGTGGAGAGCAAACCAGCACAGAGAAACCCAGCCCGGAGAAGAGGAGGAGCATTTTGTGTACTCTCCATCAAGGCTGAACCCCACGTTCGCTGTGGCTGACGTTGCCTGCTCAGGGCCTGCAAGCCAGCGGTGGCTTTTGACCCCGGTCCATTACCCTTTTGCACCCTTCCGAGTAATTTGTACCTTCATGGGGCTGGCAGTTGTCTGGGAACCCATCCAAGCTCTCAAACGAAAGGCCAGGAGCGGGAATCGGTTTTCTATTTCTGGCCTTGCCTCTTAACACCTGTCCGACCCGTGCAAGACGCTCGGGGCCAGATTTAAAGAGGTGGATCAGCACCGACTCCTCCCTTGGGGTCTTCCTTGTGGTACCCAACTGTGGCTCACAGCGCCTCCAAAACCTAATTACTCAGAGTTCCCTGCTCTGGGTGAGCAGGAAGCCCACAGAGCATTTTTCATGTGAAAAAGTCCTTATTGCTCTACATGCTTGGGTGCAGCTTCATTTTGATGCTGTTGGGTAAAGTCCTTGACTGACCCCTTCGACACTGGTTGTTCCTGTACTAATTTGCCTACAGGGCTCAATCCTGGGCCTCAGAATGTCCTCCTTGGATTGAAATCTCCATAAAACATAAGATAACATGCTGCCACACTGTCACCTGTCCGCAACCCCTTCGTTTTGAAGTGTTTTTCCAAGCAGCAGACCAGGAATCACCCTCATGCCTTGCAGGACAGCACCCTCCCAGGCTGAGCTGTGGGACACCCCTTCTAAAAAACATCTCCGTTCTGGGTCCTTGTGAACATCCTGGCGTGATGCAAGCACCTTCATTATTTCGGCTACCTCTGGTAAGGAAATTCCCTGCATCTCAGTTCACATCTCCATGCATCGCTCTTTTACTAAGCCGTGGCCAGAGGAGCCACATCAGGCAAGTGCCCTGGCTTCAAGCCCCCTGTTGCACTCACCACAGCATCCTGAATGTGCCTGAGGTCTGATTTTGGCAGGACCACAGTGAGCCTTCGGTAGGAAAAGCCTCCCACACCTCGGGGAGGAGGCTACAGAGCTTTCCTGAAAGCTGCTGAGCATCTACGTGCATTGCTCCCTGATGCCTTACTGTCCTATGAGAGGTACGTGGCACCTAAACCTCGTGGTGAATCCAACCCTCTGTGGGGTTTTTGACTTGTTTGAGTACACAGATCTCACTGATCTGACCCATTTCTTTCTTTCTCTCTTTCTCTCTTTCTCTCTTTTTCCCTTTCTCTCTCTCTCTCTCTTTCTCTCTTTCCCTCTCTTTTTCTTTCTCTCTTTCTCTCTTTCTCTCTTTCTCTCTTTCTTTTCTACCTCCAGAAATGCTGAGCTCTGCCTTGGACTTGCTGAAGCCATGGGAAGCCCAACCTGGGGTTAATGACACCAGTAGGCCATCTGTGGGCCTCAGATTTCTCACTAAACGGGGTCAATAATATTTCCCTGGCTAACAGGACATCACGAGAGCTGATTTATCACCGCTGCTGAGTGTGTCATGATCCTAGGAAGAAACACAGCATAAAAACACAGAGCAGCCAGGATACTTGGAAAGGTTTGACGGGCACGTGTGCATTAAGCACTGTCACCTGTTGCTTACTGAGCTCTGACTGCCAGCCTTCATGCCACAGATTCACCTTTCCATGGCCAAATGTGGCATTTCCCCACCTTCTAACAGGAGCTGAGAAGGTCCCCAGGCAAGGCACCAGGTTCCCCGTCGGAAAGCTTTCCTGGTCTGCGAAGATTGAAGGGTGACTTACAAACCGGCTCTGCCTTAACGTCGCCTTTGCCCCGGGTTGTATTGCTTCATCCAAAAAAATAAAAATAAATAAGGGAAGTGGGGAAAAAGGAGGGAAAGACAGAACAGTAATTTGTGGCATGATAATGCTGCATTAAAATTGTTCCTCAGCTTGAAGCAAATTAAAGCGATCTTTGCTCCACAAATTAATACTAACACTATGGTTGTTTATCATGTCTTAGTAATATCACAGGGGAATAAAACTATCAACTCTTATCCATTTAAATAGCCAAGATGTAACGGCTTGAGCTA